AAAAAAAAAAAAAAAAAAGAAACAGTCTGATTCCCAGGAAATTAAGCAACCACAACAACTGAAATTTTATGAACCCCAGAATACAGTGGAGGACACAAGGAAGACACCCAAGAGAGACAGACACTTGTCAACAAAGACTGATGTTGTTGATTCCAAAATATGGGCTCCATATTTTGTTGATTCCAAATTAGAATTTGCATGCACATTCATAAAGAAAGGAAGAGTATTTCGCATATTAAAAACCTGTACTGCAGCTGGGCACGGTGGCTCACGCCTGTAATCCCAACATTTTGGGAGGCCAAGGTGGGCAGATCACCTGAGGTTAGGAGTTTGAGACCAGCGTCGCCAACATGCTGAAACCACATCTCTACTAAAAATACAAAATTAGCTGGGTGTGGTGGCACATGCCTGTAATCCCAGCTACTCAGGAGGCTGAGGCAGGAGAATCACTTGAACCCGGGAAGCAAAGGTTGTGGTGAGCTGAGATGGCACCATTGCACTCCAGCCTGGGCAACAAGAGCAAAACTCCATCTCAAAAAAAAAACCTGTACTGCCCAGTACACTATATTGGCCAGGCTGGCCTTGAACTCCTGACCAAAGTGCTGGGATTATAGGTGGGAGCCACTGTGCCTGGCTGCAATAACAAATTATGATTGCTTATCTCAGCATGCACTATGCACTTATTATTACTATAATGAGGTAATAAGACCAAGAAGAAAAAAAAAATTTGCCTTTTTAAAAAAAATTTTATTTTCTTTTTGACACAGTCTCACTCTGTTGAGTGCAATGGCGCGATCTCAGCTCACTGCAAACCTCTGCCTCTGGGTTCAAGTGATTCTCCTGCCTTAGCTTCCCAAGCAGCTGGGAATACAGGCGTGTGCCAGCCACCACACCCAGCTAATTTTTGTATTTTTTGTAGAGACGGGGTTTCACCATGTTGCCCAGGCTGGTCTCGAATTCCTGACCTCAAGTGATCCACCTGCCTCAGTCTCTCAGTGCTAGGATTACAGGTGTGAGCCACCACGGCCGGCCAAGTCTGCCTTTTATCTTTGTGAAGGTGTAACAGATGCTCTCCAGGAAAATCACATACAAGGGTTTTTTTTGTTTTGTTTTGTTTTTGAGACAGAGTCTTGTTCCGTTGCCCAGACTGGAGTGCAGTGGTGTAATCTTGACTCACTGTAACCTCTGCCTCCCAGGTTCAAGCGATTCTCCTGCCTTAACCCTTCCAAGTAGCTGGGATTACAGGCACACGCCACCGTGCCTAGCTACATATGTACCTCGATAACTTTTGATCGATGGTTGAATCTTTGGGAGGCCGAGGTGGGTGGATCACCAGGTCAGGAGATCGAGACCATCCTAGCCAACATGGTGAAACCCCATCTCTACTAAAAATACAAAAAATTAGCCAGGGGCGGTGGCACAGGCCTGTAGTCCCAGGTACTCGGGAGGCTGAGGCAGCAGAATTGCTTGAATACAGGAGGTGGAGGTTGTAGTGAGCCAAGATTACACCACTGCACTCCAGGCTGGCAACAGAGCAAGATTCTGTCTCAAAAAAAAAAAAAAAAAAAGAAAGGCCGGGCGTGGTGGCTCATACGTGTAATCCCAGCCAGCACTTTGGGAGGCCGAGGCAGGCGGATCACCAGATCAGGAGATTGAGGCCATCCTGGCTAACACGGTGAAACCCCGCCTCTACTAAAAAAATCAGCCGGGTGTGGTGGTGGGCGCCTGTAGCTACTCAGGAGGCTGAGGCAGGAGAATCGCTTGAACCTGGGAGGTGGATGTTGCAGTGAACCGAGATCATGCCTCTGTACTCCAGCCTGGGC